TCGCGAGGAGGGAGCGCGTCGGCCCGAATCGCTAGGACGCCGTCAATGTCGGTGCAGCCGGCGGCACAGCGGCGGAAGGTCAAGCCGGCGGAGCGGAAGGGGCGGGACCGCGCGGACCTGCCAATCCCGCCGCTTTTACCCCGCCCCGCCCACCACTGACGGCCCCTGTTACCCCGCCGCGGAAACCCCCCCCTACCCCCGGCTTCGGAGCCAATGAGGGCGCGCGGCCCGGGCCCGGGTGCCAATCCCCGCGCGGGACGGCCGTCCACGTCTGCCAATTGGCTCCGCAGCGGCCCCGTGGGTCTGCCCCCCGGGCTTCCGTAGTGCCCTTGGCGGGGGCGGCCGGGGCAAGAGTCCCGCGCTCGCTTTTTAGTGAGCTGCCGGAGGGCGCCGCGTGGGGAAGCCCGGGCCACGAAGCCAGCGCCGACAGGCTCGTGGCGGCCTCGGGGAGCCCACTGTGCCCTCACCCCCTTAGCCCGTGCTAAGGTCCGAGCGCCGCAGCCCATCAATGCAGGTGCATCGGACAGCCTGCAAACAGGGCTGTGCTTGCTTGTGTGAGCAGTGTGCGCGCCCCCCCACCTTTACCATAAAGAAAGAAACAGTGAAAACACCAGTTGAGGACGTTTTTATTAACAAGAAAAGGTTTCCTTGTTCCACATAACTTACGTTTTTAATATCAAATAGTTGCTAAGTGCTGAATCTAGTCTATTCCAGTTTTATCCTAATAAATGCATTGCTTTCGGTATATTTCTTTTTAACAGGTAAACCCCATAAATTGCTAGGTATTTAGAAATCTTTTACCATTAGGGCATCACACCTTGTTCAGAGTAAGTCTTATTTACAGAAATGCCACAAGGCAACTTTTTAATCAAATACCAGTATTTAGCAATGTTTAGTTTGGCTGAAATGTTACTTCAGTTGCAGAAACTATCTCCGGTTACAAAAAATAATCAGAAATCTTACTGGATATAACCTGGTTTTAACAAATGTCCTAGTAAGTCTTCAGCTAAACAATACTTTAAGTAGAAAAAACCAGTAATTTTCAAATAGGTTAATATCCTATCTCTGTGGTTTATGTACACATAGTTAGCTGGTCTTCTCTCTAGGAAACCTGACTAGAAGGTTATCACTCACAGTAAGTGTTGGAAGAACACTCTGAATGCAACAACCACAACTATCAAAGACATCATTTAGTGTGACAATCACCTGCTATTAAGTATGAAACAAAATATATTAATTGGATTGCTTTCCCAAATCCAAATGCAACTGCCCTCTGGCATCCAAAATAAGGATTCCCCATAAAGCTGCAGTGCGATTCAATTCATTGTCAGCTTAGGTCAATCCTTGTATTTTTCTCTCATTCTTTTTCTTCCCCACCGCCCCCTACACCCCACAGTGGCACTGTATTATTAAAAGCATTAAGTACCTGGAATTTACGCTTCAGATCAAGACATCATTTGAGTAATTTCAAATGATGTACAGCTCTTCATGGAAAAAAGGTGTTTTGTGGTCACAATTACTTCAAAAAGTAATTATATTCAAATAACCTGACATATCATGCTTTAGCAATTACAGAACCATGATTTTGACACATGGCATTTTATAAGTTAGGCAAATGTGAAATGCTAAAAGCTGTGAACAGCTGTTCTTCTGTTTAAGTTTAGAGTGCTGCAAAATTCAGGTAATGACTTTATTTTTCAGTTAACAGAACCAGCCCACAGTACAGCATACTAAATCACAAAGGCATTTGGAAAGTACAAATCTAAGGAAGGTTAATGCTTTTATTAAGTTACAAAACTTTGGCAAATCAATACAGTACTCTTTAATACAATAAAATCGTATTTTTGTGGACCTCATATTACTTTAGTGATTGTTTTTATTCCAAAAATATCATTTAAATAGCAAATCAAAATGCTTGGTTTTTTTTTTTTTTCATTTTGCTTTTCCCCCTTTAAATGGTGATTTAGAGCAGAGCAAGATATTTGATACAAATTATATGGCTTTTAAAAGTTTATGATTTAAGGTCCTTTGCGCTTGTCGTTGAAGTCCAGTGCAGAAGGGCAGTCTCTGTGTGCCTCCCAATGGCTCTGCTGTATTTTGGGGTTGGTCCAAAGCCAGGTAGAATTCCCATGCCAGGAACGCTTTCAAATTCTACCTTCAGGAGTTTTAATACACCGATACCAATTTCAAAGTAGTTTCTCCCAAAATCATTACGTTTTCACATAAATACTGGAACCCACAGTATTATTAGTCATTTTAAGTAACACTATTGTTTGATGATCCCTCTTAGTTGGAAGCCCTGCACCTCTTTGTTTAGATCAAGAGTCACACAGACTCTCTCCAGCTCATTAAAATAAAAAAAAAGTCTACCTAAAATAGTTGCTTCTTAAATAACAAATAAATACCCTGCCAGCGTGGAGACCTGGGACCTGATACTCAATGCCACTTGTCATTTCTCTGCAAACGCCGCAGCCGCCATAGGTGTCCTTATGCTCCCTCTGGCTGAGGCGGCCAGTTCCTCAATCTCGGCGTTTAACTTGCGGATCACCCACTCCATGGCTTCTCGGCCCTTCAACAGAAGTAAGGACAGTTACTGCCGGCGAGAGCTGAGCAAATCCACAGAATGGCAGGCTGGGTAACTAACAAGGAGGGCTACAAGCTGGTGTAACTAGGTTGGCCTCATCGGATGGATACATTGCTTTTCTTTTCCCAACGCGATTAGTTAAGTATCAAATGCCTGGACAACTGGCTTGATCTCTATTTTGACTGCAAAACCTCTTCTCACAAGCATCGCCAATTAAAAGGCAGTGAGGTCTTAGTGATTTCATGATGTTCTGGGGTGAGAATTCTCCATATTTTAATCAAACCCCCACCCCACGAGACACGGCAGGAGCTGGCTCCCGACTTCCTTGTTGCTCCGCCCTCTTGGAGGAGGAGCACAGCACGCTGCGTGACCCACCATTTCCGCACCACTGGAGAATCCACCATGGGGAGAAATCCCCCTTTGACACCAGTCACTGCCTGGCCCAGCACTCTCACCCCCTGCATACTTTCCTTTCCTCACGACTTGCTTACGAGCATTTGGATGTGGGGGGCAGCAGGCACAGCACTGGCTCGGCTCCCCGCGGTGCCACCAGCATCTAGCGAGGGTCTCTGGGCACTAACCAACTATCCTAAGCATGTGCTATCAAACAGTGCGGTAAGCATCGCTTTCTCAACAGTGACTTCGGTACTGAATACTCATGGGGATGGCAATGAGGACAAACTGTCTACAGGGCGGATGTGATCATGCACAGGACTGGGAACCAGCACTTCAGACAACAGCACAGATTTGTGCTGAGCGGCACACTCCTATGTGGGGCCATCCACTCTCAGTCACGCTTCACGGGGACCCTGCAATGCAGGAGGGGTAATAAATCCTCACTTCAGATGAGAAACTGAAGTGCTGGAAGAGCACGGTTGACAGATGGGTAAGGGTCAGACCTGGACTGCCATCAGCTGACAAGGACAGTGGGTGTTTAGGACCCAGGGGGCACTGGATGAGGAGGAAGCAGCTCTTACTTTGCTGGCGTTGGAGGACATAGTGCTCGCCATCATGCCTTCTAGGTAGCTGCTGAGACTGACGCCTTTCACGGTGATTATGGCCTCTTGAGTCAGAACAGTTCTAGAATAAAACACACCCACAGTTCTACAACTACCTTGTTTTCAGTGTGCAAGATTTGGTGAAAAAAAATAAAAAGAAGAAATTAAAGTACTTGCTAAGTAAATTTATTACAAATACTTTTTACTTACTTCCCTGGGTCCTGAGGATGTGGTTTGTATATAAGTCTCTCATCTACTGACACCATATTTGTAAATGAAATCTATAGTATGAAAACAAAAACAAAAACAAAAAAAACAACGAAAACAAAAAAAACAGTCAAACCATTTTGAAAACAAAACCCAAACCAAAATCTTACTAAATATACAACCCCCTAACCAAAATCTTACTAAATATACAAACCCCCTAACCAAAATCTTACTAGTTAAATATACAAACCCCTAACCAAAATCTTACTAGTTACATATACAAACCCC